TCAACCTCTGCAAAAACTGCAGAGAATGTATAAAATTTGGTAAGAATTTAAAATCAATGAGTCATTTTAAAATGTACAAGCCACTATCTCTTTTAAATGCTTTCAATGAGGAACTTCAGTTAGATTACGCGGGTCCACTTTCAGATGGGGAAGGTAACCAAGTATACATCCTGGTAGCTATCGACCGCTTCTCAGAGTATCCGTCTGCGATGCTTACTTAAACGACTGGAGCAAAAATTTTAATATTCTGGTTTTAAAAATAAGTTAGTAGATCAGTATTGCAAATCGAAAAGCAATAATCATATTTTTTGCTCGGTCGGAGATCACCATGGTTGCGGTCTGGTAGAGCGATCTATTCAGACGATTAAAAGAAATTTAGGCACGTTACAATTAGAAGAAAATCCACCGGATATTCGTACGGCTCTTAAGATGATTATCAAAAACATCCGGATAACGAAGAATTCACTTACTGGCCTATCTCCGTTTGAGTTACACTTTAGCAGGAAACCAAAATCTGAGTGTTCACTAGCGACCGATAATTTTAAATCTAGAATTATTTCAGACGAGCAGAATTTGGAAAAGGGCCTTTTGACAGCCGAAGAGAAGAGCTGAGAGAAGAGAACTATGTGACAGCAGGGATCGCGTCAGGGTGGTTAAGAAGGGCCACCAAAGCAGGGATGCCTGAGCCAAATTCCAGATCGCGAATACACCCTACTACAAATCTCTGGAACAGCTCGCGAAATCGGCGAACGAGTGGATGACCAGGAAAAGAAAACTGTCCCACGAACAGGGTTGCCGAGCTCATCGTACCTTGACTGAGAGAAACCAGCTCTTAGCGGCCTCCCTCAGAAATAGCCTAACAACGGGGACTCTGAGATTTAGACAGGACGCATTAGAATCGCCAACAACTAGTACCAAATGTAAACTAGAGTCATTGCTTTTATTTAGTCCGAACCCAGTTGAAGTGTTCAGGAAAGTGGCGAATCGTGAATCGGGGAAACAATTTTTTAAATGCTTTGAGGATAAAAATATCAGAGTTAGTCCTTCTAGTTATATTACGGAAGCGGGGAAAGTAGTTAGCAAAAATGATATTTTGTTAAGATTCAAAAATTCACAAGTTTCAGGTCATCAGGGACCCAGCAAACCACTCTTGGGGAAAAAAGCTGAAAAGACAGAGAAAATTGTCTTCCTCGTCATCTTCTGACGAATCTCTGATTCCGAGAGCTAAGGCACAACAGAGACAATTGACAGCTACAACTAGACTGGCAACTCCGACGGATCCTCAACAGGGGAAATTCCGGGCAATCGCTCCCAATGTGATTACATCTAGCAACCCAATTCGAACACCCAGGCCTGCAATTCCAGTTGTGGACTTAACGAAATCGTTTTCTAGTTCAGGCGGTATCATCGCCGGTCGCCCAACCCTCGTGCTCGAAAACCATTCCGATATCTGTCAAAGTCGATAAAAGGCCACATACGACCAGCAGGGTAACGATACAACCAGGCGCTGAAGTAGTATCGGACGCAACCCGTTTACAACAGGTCTCATCTGATAGCGATCATGTGACAGAATCAAATGTCACACCGCAGTCCTGCTCTTTGTCGGTCATTAAGCAAACACCAGAAAAAGGCCCCACTAAGTCACCAATTTCACCACAGAAGATATCTACTGAGGCTACAGCAGATCAAGATGGGAACGAATCTTCTTTCTCGAGAACCTCGGGCCGCACTAAAAATTAGACACCATTTTATGGCAGTCCCATACGACATGCGGCCAAAGAAGTATCGGAAGCATCTACACCAGGCTTCTCGGGCGGACTGACGGTTCCGGTGTCTCCTGCAGAGTTATCTTCGTCGCCATCACCAAGAAGAAAAATAAAAGTATTTAAAAAGAATAAAGTGCAGTCTCAAAAGTAGAAGATCCAAATAGAACAAACTTAAAACTCTTACTTAAAACTCAATTTGTTTATTTGAATTTCTGTTGATCAGACATTTTTGAAGGGGGAAGTGTGGTACAGCGGGTGTGCTGCCTCCCATTGTGTATCGTAGTATTGTGTATTGAATTGATAGAGGTCATAATGTTAGTCTGAGTGAGTTGATGTTATTATGTCAAGGCCGGTACTTGCCGACCGTGTTAATGTTTTGTGTTGAATGAAAATCAGTCTCTCATTATCTGATGAAAGATACAGATACCTCAACATTTCTTTATTCAATAATTCACATCTTATTACAATTACTTTTGTAACTATGAGTCTGTCGGTTGACATTCCACATCCTAAATTCCGCCCTCCCTTTTTAAGGGTGGCTGGCACAATACACATGGAACGACTGTAATATTTTACACTAGACTACATTATATAATAACACAGGCCATATTTATTAGCATCCAAAAACAAACAAAAAATTAGATTTTTGAAATCGCTAAGCGATCACATCTAAAATTAAACATTTACTATTTTAAGTAAATGTTTAGTGCTCGAAAACCATTCCGATATCTGTCAAAGTCGATAAAAGGCCACATACGACCAGCAGGGTAACGATACAACCAGGCGCTGAAGTAGTATCGGACGCAACCCGTTTACAACCGGTCTCATCTGAAGGCGATCATGTGACAGAATCAAATGTCACACCGCAGTCCTGCTCTTTGACGGTCATTAAGCAAACACCAGAAAAAGGCCCCACTAATCCACCAATTTAACCACAAAAGACATCTACTGAGGCTACAGCAGATCAAGATGGGAACGAATCTTCTTCCTCGAGAACCTCGGGCCGCACTAAAAAACAGACACAATTTTATCCGAAAATGATTTGAAATGATTTGAATCCGAAAAGGGGAACTAAACTTTAACATCACACGCCACATTTTATCTTCCATGATTTGCATGAATTTTTCAAGCGCGCAAAAAAGTAAGGCGCTTTGTAAAGTATAGTGTTTTCTACGGCCTTATTGAGTAAACAGATGAAAAAACCTAAACGTTTTTCTCTAAATATTCAGTATCTGAAGTTGGGGTATTAAACTTTTGAATATTTAGAGCCAAAATATTCTCTGAAGTAATTTATAAAGTATGGTAAAAATCTAATCTTTGGCAAAACAATAATATAGAATAGCCATCATACAATTATTGTTATAAAAACAAGAGTACCCTGTGCAGAATACCAATAGTTTATTTGCGACCAAATTTGTTTTTAACAAAAATCCTATGCTTTGGCTCAAGACAATTCTTGCTTTCGATATTATATGTGGTTTCCTTATATTGCTTCTGTAAAATTTTTTTAAAACTGTTAACGCTTAAATTAATTTTGTTGCTGTTGCTGTGTTTTTTTTTATTGAGTTTTCAATTTGCTTAAATAATATTTTACCAAGTAGGATGTAGAGAAATTTTTTCCAATAATAAAATTGCAAAATGCCTAAAAAGCTTTTTTGCAGTTTCAAAAAAGATTATTAATAATTAATTTCCCAGCGGAAAAATAATTATAACCCTGTTATTTAAAATTAGTCACGTTAACTAGTTATTCACGTTAATTAGTCACGTTAACAAACGCTCAAAACATTAGCATTTTATTAAAAAATTTCAGTTGAATGAGCTTTAAGGCTAACCAAATTTTTCTAAAGGTCAAAAATTAGATTGCTCAAAATTTTTCAAACGTTTTTTTCATCTGTGTGCTCTGATGATTATTCATATATTTTTGACTTGAAGTAACAGCAAAATTCAAACTTTTCGAACTCTATTGACACTTACACTCTGGCAGTTGAATGCACAAAACTGGAAAAAAATATCAAGTGCAAGCCACGTTTTTCATCGGAAAAAAAGCACTAAAAATTGGTGGAACGGGCAATTGGCGTCCAAAATTTTGTTCAGTGTATTAACGAATACTTGATTTGAACTAAACTTAACAGTTACACTATCTTTTGTAATTTAACAATGGATTTCTCAATTTCTTAAGATAACTGAGCAGGATTGTATAATACTTGCATTACGATTTGCATTTTATACCCAGCAACTTTTAAGTTGACTGCTGAGCACTTGCATAGACCACCACAGTTTTAGCGAAAAAGCGAACAAAAATTTTGATGATGAACTACAGCATTTGAAATTTTTTTCAGAGTCTAACAAATCTCCAGCAACTCTAAAGAATAGCTTAAACAATTTCAAGCCGAACAAAGCAATCTCTAGTTGCAATGCCGCCTGTATTGGAATCTAAGTAGTTAAGCATGCTAGTCGACACATTGATGTTTTCAAATATTTTAAAGATGATTATTTTTTAGCCGATATATTTCAAAAAACAGTTTTTGAAGCTTTAGTTTGAATATAATCATGATATGAACTATTTATTGAAGCTTCTTTCCTGTAACTGGTAAGAATAGTATTTTTTTAGACTTGAAATATGATATAAAGTCAATCCTTTTTGCATTTCTTATGATTATTTGTTGACAATGCTTTGTACTTCTTTCAATTGAATCAAGATCATATTGGAGCATGAATTTTTTGAAAAATAATTCAAATTACAATTTGGCATACAAATGCATCACGTCTGAATACTCTTTGAAATAGTACACCACAGTCTTTTTGAACTTTTCTCGTGAAAACCAAAATCGGCATCCAATTCAAATCATTAGCGAGTACTTTTGATTTGCAAATTTTTGCGCAAGCATGGTAAAAGTTATAAATTTCACTCAAGTTAATTGGCATTATTACTGTAATAAACTAGCTCGACATCCATACACTTGATTCGCTGATTGCTACGCTTTCTGGTTTCTGATGGAATGATTAACTCGCTACATGTTGTTTTCTTATAAAAACAAGTAAGCGAACGGTTAAATAGTTCCAAATAACTTTGAGACAAATCAGATTGCGATATGTTTAGAAAAAAAGACGCTAATTACATTTTTTTGTGCTTTACTAGCGTGTGAGTTGAAATAAACGAAAAGTATGGAGAAAAAACTTTGTTTTTTTGATGTTATCAACTTTTTAAATGTTTCTCCAGTACTTATTCGCTTTATTTTTCAATCAAACACATTTTATTAGCCCTAAATTGCAGTCGGAACCCAGTCAGGGCTTCGCAAAACTTATTATTATTTTTAGTTTTGTTATATCTAATCATCAAATGAAACAAAAAGTTTTGCCCCATTTTTTCTAGTACTTGAGTATTTTTTAAGAAATAGTTTGAATTAGTCTTCGTTCATTTAATTCAAGTATTCAAAGCATATTAGATATGAAATTACAAAACAGGAAATCGTTAACTTATTTCAGTTGATATCAATAATACTAATTATGTACACAAAAGTAATTATTTTTCAAATATTCCTTAAAACCCAAGTCATTCAAGTGTAGAAAATCTGTTGTTATTCATTCTTGTTTCGAAACCGTTCACCAAGTTGTTAGCTGGATCACGTGTTGTGTTGTACACGTATTTCTTAACGGTATCGCGGTAGGTCACCCTGATCATACGAGTCGTTTCGGTCGTTTCGAGCGGGCGGCGGCGATAGGTGCCCGTCGAACTGTTTGCTGTCGTAAGAGTTGGATCGTCTCGGGGCGGGGTAGTCGTCTCGGAACTGTTGCGGGCTGTATGCACCCGGGCGGTTGTAGCCTCCTCGGTCCGCAGTTCCGTATCGCGGGTTGTTTTGGGCGGGAGCTGGCTGGTACAATCTGTTCTCAGATGTTGCTGGTCGAATACTCTCTGAAAAATTCACACTAAATTTATTGAAAATGCTTCAAGTTTATTTGTGCTCGTGAACATTTTCAAAAACAATAATATTCTTCAAAGAAAATTGAGTGCCACAACGCCCGCGTTGGAACTCTTGAGATGGAAGTCCTAAGCCTCTGCCAATCCCTCTACCCATTTTTTTATTTAGAATGATTTGAAAAAAAAGAAAGCATTTACGTTGTTCGTACTCAGCAACCGGTCTTGGTGTGTTCAAAGTGGCCGCTTGCATCTGCTTTTTTTTCTCCGTCTTTATTTTCTTCACATTTCTGCGGGTGAGAAGAACTTTGAAGACACTGCAGACGACCAACATAAGTTGGATGCAGAATGCGATCCACCCACTGAAGAGAGAGAAGCCACTGCTCTCGTAGACGAATGTCTTCTGGAAGTACCGCATAGCGGTTGCCGTTCCCGCCATGGTCAGGATCGCTACAGCAGGAAAAGATTCCAGTTAGCAACTCAATACAATTGACTTTGTCCTTTCGATTGGTTAAGTTTGTAGAGAAGTTTCTCTGACTCTTACCACAATCTGCCCTTAAGACCCTTATTTCACTTGTTTATTTTGCTATTTGAAATGTTGAAAGTCCCCTTTGGTCATCTTAAGGGTTTCAATGTGATCAAACATATGTTTTCTAAAATGAGAAGTCTACAAAGTTTCAACTTCCACTTCCATTTTGGTACGAGTATGATCTTTGGGTCCCAAGAAAAAGCAAGTATGAAAGATGGGTCCTGCAATTTTTGTGAAAATTTCGAAAGCCCAAGTAAACAATGCGAACCAGTTTTTCCAAGATTTTAAGGACTGAAGACTTTCCTTCAGGGTTCTATGTAAAGTTAATGGACCCAGCTATCATACTTGTAGGCTCTCCTCACATAAGCATCAATTTTCTGGTGTAACGAGGGGTTTTAGAAGGTTAAATGCGAAGACCAAATATGTTTGTCATAGCATAAATAGTCCGCATCCCATATTTATAACAATCGGACAATCAAACAAAGAAATTACTGGTGAAAATTAGCTGTTTTTAAAATTATTTTTAAAAATCCGCCAACCTGACAAAATAATGATAGTGTGTTAAGTACCTTGGAAGACGGCCGCCCATCCGATGAGTAATTCGAATGCGAGGAGCTCTGTGAAGATGTGGACTAGCTGGAAAGACACAGCGTACAGAGAAGCGAACCCCATCAGAATGCAGAGGGTGAGACAAGTCTTGCACAGCTTCAGCTCCGTGTCTGAAATATATAAGTAAATAATAATAATAATAAAAAACAAAAACAATAATCATACTAATAATCATAATAATAATAATCATAATAATAATAATAATCATAATCATAATAATAACAATCATAATCATAATAATAATAATCATAATCATAATCATAATAATATTAAAAATATTAATCATAATAATTATAATAATCATAATAATCATAATAAAGGTATAATAATAGTAATAACAATAATAATCATAATAATAATACTAATCATAATAATAATTTGTTATCAGGTTCTCATCTTTGTAGGCTAGTTTACGATATTAGCAACAACTATATCCCACAGTGAAGCCTGGGAGAACACCTTTAGACCAAATTGTCCGTTTTAAAACGTCTCTGACCAAAAAAAAATTTGGATTTTTTTTTATAATGCTGAAAATGTAGAAAAACTGCAGTAAATGTAGCAAAAAAAATGATGAAGGAGATCAAAATATATTTATAACTCAATAAAATTCAAAAATTTAATGGAATCTACTGTTGATAAACAGAATAATTTTTGAAATTTTTCTTTTTCTCAATCAGCTCACATAAAATCATCAATTTTATGGTGTAACAAGGGTTTTTACAAGAATAAGTATTAAAATTAAAAAAATTGTCGTGGCTCACTTAGTCTGTATGCCAGTTTATGTTATAATCAGAAACTATGAACAAGAAATAACTTACAATAATCGCAGGGGGTATAACAAAAAAGGGGCACAATAACCCTTTTTATCAATGCCATCACACTTATAAACTTATGAAGACATATTCCAAGATGGGACATTTATACCAGTAACTAATTTGTAAAATGGCAAATTTTTCACTAACTTGTTGATTTTTCTTCAGCCAACTCTTTTCCATCCTTTTACCACCTGTTATCAACATGGCTTGTCGATAAAGTAAGGCCCTGCTAGGGTAATTTATTTTCTTTAAAGATAAGCTAAAAAGTTTTTTCCTCTCTTAAAGTAATAAAGACATTTGAGGTACCAAAAACAAACTCCATCCAAAAATTTAAATCCTGATCATATTAGTTAATTTTTACTACTTGTTCTGCAAACGAATTACTTTGTACTTCACTGTCATCCTCAATGGCATCTTCGTTCTTATTAATTTTGAGATATCCATTTTTGGCTGACCTTACAAATTTTCTAAAGGTGCCTTTGGCGCCAATATATACTAATTCTGAGGGGCAACGCACACCAAAAAAAAACACGTTTGTTTTTTGATCAAAATTTTCCAAAAAAGCTTAAAACTGTCTTTTTGGCCTGTTTTTTCAAAACAATTGCCTGCGAAATAAAGTTTTATTGAGAATTTAGTAAGGCTCAGAAAATCAATTTGGTCGACCTAGAAAGAAAGAGTCGACAAAGTTTCTCGAAATTTTTTGAAAATTTGCATCCTTCGAGAAAATCCTAGATCTGCACCTGAGTTAGACAACAACGTGTTCAAACAAGGAAGGAAGAAATTAATACTTAAGAAATATTTATTTCGCAAGCTTGAATTCTCATCTCGGTTCTGATTGATTAAAATAGCGTTTATCTGCTTACTGACTATTATAAAAAAGCTGTTGTCAACTGTTAGACAATAGCGTTTTCATACTTGTCAGCAAGCAGACAAGTTTTATAATAACCAATCCGAATCGAAGCAAGGAAGACATTAAAAGCTAAAAATTATTAATTTCGTAAGAAGTCAAAAAGCAGATAAATACAACAAGCACCAATCAGAATCGAGACAAGGAAGAAATTAATAATTGAAAACCTTTTATTTCGTAAGTTGCTTTCGCATTTTGATTCTGGTTGGTTAATATAGAAATTGTCTGCTTACTGACGAGTGTGAAAACTGTCCGTTATCAGCTGTTCGACAACAGCGTATTCATATTTTCAGTAAGCAGACAAATCCTATATTAACCAATCAGAATCGAGACAATCAGAATCGAGATAACCTTATAAGGAATCGAGACAAACAAAAATTAACAATTATTTATTTCGTAAGTTTGCTCTCTCATCTCGATTCTGATTGGTTAATTCAGTATTTGTCTGCTTACTGAGAAGTGTGAAAACTGTCCGTTGTCAACTGTTAGACAAAACCGTAATCATACTTGTCGGTAAGCAGAAAATTTTTATATTAACTAATCAGCATCGAGACAAGGAAAAAGTAAAAATTAAAATTTACTTATTTTGTAAGTTTGCTTTCTCATCTCGATTTTGATTGATTAATTTAGTAATTGTCTCCTTACTGACGAGTCTGAATACGCTGTTGTCAACTGTTAGTCAACAGCGTATTCATACTTGTCAGTTAGCGGAAATTTACTAGTTTAATCAATCAGAATCGATACAAGGAAGAAATTAATAACTAAAAATTATTTGTTTCGTAAGTTTGCTTTCTGATCTCGATTCTGATTTTTTTTTCTGCTTACTGACGAGTATGAAAGCGGTGTTGTCAATTGTTAGACAACAGCGTTTTCATACTTGTAGGGCAAGTAAGCAGACGAATACTATTTTAATTAATCAGAATCGTGACATGGAATAAATCAATAATAATTAAAAACTATTTATTTCGTAAACTTGCTTTCTCACATCGCTCCTGATTTTTTTAATATAGTTTTTGTCTGTTTACTGAGGAGTATGAACATGATGTTTTCAACTGTTAGACTAGACAGCAGCGTTCTCATACTTGTCACGAGAGCTATAATAACCAATCAGAATCGAAACAAGAAGGAGATTGATAACAAAAAATCATTTATTTCGTAAGTTTGCTTTCTCGTGCTTATCTCTGTACTGACAAGTACGAATACGGTGTTGTCTAAATTCAGAGCGCATTCCGAAAGAAAGCTCTTGCGTGATGCACTAAATGTGTAATCGCAACTTATCACTACAGTTATCAATTTAATTAGCAATTAAGTTAATTATCATTAGCAATTAAACTCACACTGTCTTAAATTGTTGACACTTCCGCCTTTAAGGCAAATTGATCTATTCAATGACCTTATAAGCTAGCCTGATGACCTTTAGCTTGCCTTTAAGGTCCTTTTAAGGTAATCCTATGACCTTTAACTGACCTTATGACCTTATAAGATAACCTTATGACCTTATAAGGTAACCTTATGACCCTAAAAGGTAACCTTACGACTTTATAAGATAACCCTATGACCTTTAGCTTACCTTATGACCTTATAAGATAACCATATGACCTTATAAGTTACTCTTATGGTCTTATAAGGTAACCTTATGACCTTCTTAGGCAACCTTATGACCTTATAAGATAACCCTATGACCTTTTAAGGTAAACTTATGACCTTATAGGGTAATCTTATGACCTTAAAAGTTACCTTCATGACCTTAAAAGGTAATCTTATGATCTTGTAAGGTAACCTTATGACCTTATAAGGTAACCTTATGACCTTATAAGGTAACATCATGACCTTATAAGGTAACCTTAAGACCTTATAAGATAACTTTATGACCTTTTAATGTAATTTATGACCTTATAGAGTAACCTTATGACCTTAAAAGTTAACTCTATGACCTTAAAAGGTAACCTTGTGACCTTTAGCTTACCCTACGACCCACTTGTGATTTAAACCAGTTGCATGACGAAAGAAACGAGCCCTCAAACATCACTGGTTTTATCAAATTATGACACTTTCACCCCACTAAATTATGAGATTCTTCCTCTACCTGCTTCTTTTTCAAGCATTTGTCAAAAAAAACGGAACTCATTTCAAAAAGATAAATAAATTGGGCTTCTTGTAATGCAAATACCGTGAACATTTCATAATTTTCACCAGCACTGAAAAATTGACATTACAGTTCCCGCTACATATTATCAACCCCTCTCCAAAACAACAAAACCACAAAACTTTTCAGTTTTGTAATTATTTTTAGGTCACTTGGAAACAAGAGCTGCAACAATGCAAAAAAACTAAATTAGGATTCAAAAATAAAAAGGAACTAGTTAAATCAGATTAAAAAGTTAAATCAGAAACCAAAACTGCTTAATGGAGGAGATAAACCAAAAAAAATTAGGTGTTGATGAAAAAAAACTTCAAACACAATTTCTTTGAAAAATTTTAAACCGAAAGAGTATGTTAAGAAACTAAGCATCTAAACAAAACAAGCAGAGATGTCGCAGTTTCAAGCTGAGCAATTTTTTTTAAAAAAAACTCTGGTAGAAACTGAGCTACTCAAAGTTCTTTTCAATGAAAGTTTACAATGATCTTGTAATTCTTTGTATCTTAAACTAGTTAAAACGCAACCTGTTGTCAAAACTGCATCCAAATAGATAGCTCTAATTGTGCCAATTTTTGAAGAAAACGAAATATTTATGCTTGGCGTACTTTTTTTTCATTCAGTCATTTTTCGGCGATCTGAATAAACTTTTTTAACAAAAAAATGCCTTATTGAAGATATCAGCTTGCTGAAATCAAATATAAAAAAGTTTATCTCCATTTTTTTGCAAATTTCTGGGAGTTTAAAAATTGCCCAATTGGCCCTGCTCTGGACTAATTTAAGAGCGCTGTGAAATTTTTTTTCATAATGCTGTAAGCGTAACGCGAATTAATTATACATGGCGAGTTATCGCGCGCAGCAAAATCGTTCCAATATCAATTAAGGCTAGCTAATCGGTCGTTTTGATTTCGTACGACTCAGTTTTTCACGTTTGATTTTCGATATCGTCCAAAATTTAAAGTTTTTCATTGTTTTGTTTTCAGAAAAAATTCGATTTTGATTTGGGGGCCGGAACATTCTTGGCTTTGCGGTAACATACGAGCAGTGTTCTTATCACACTATATCCGCTCTACTGGTTATGATACTTATTCAAAAAACAGGTTGATGAGCGCTTAATTATCATATTTCTGAAACAAGATGACGGTTCAAAATTTATGTGGATTTACGGGGGCTGAGATTTAGAGTTTATTGGAGCATCAATTTGCTCGACCTAAAAATATAATTGAATTTCCACAAAATTCATATCGATGTATAACACAATCCATGTAATGTCTAATCCACACAATCCATGTAATATTGATGTATAACACAATCCATGAGAGCTAACGCCCTCTTCACCCCCCCCCCCGCTCAGGGATCCGACCCCATGCCGAATCAAAGGTTCCCCCCGTTGTATTCGTTGTACTATTTTGAGATATCCATTTTTGGCTGACTGACCCTTAATTTTTTCTCAGGGCGCCTTGGGCGCCAATATATACTAATTTTAAGGGGGAAGCGCGCGCCAAAAAAAAACGGATTTTTCGTGGTCAAAATTTTTGAAAAAATGCATAAAAACGCGCACAAAATTTTGTCAAAATATGGTGTTTATAGTCAAGTCATTTCACAGAGCTCAGAAAATCAATTTAGTCGGCCTATAAAAAAAGTCAACAAAATTTTCAAAATGTTTTTGAAAATCTCCCCCCCCCCCCCTTGAGAAAATCCTAGATCGGCCCCTGATGCTGACTGCATTCGACAAAAAACTTGAAAAGATGGTTTCAAAAAATGAGGGGGGGGGGGGTCTGAAAAGTTTGATTGATAGGTTCAACAATAAGGAGCAATGTGAGTTAGTTACCTAGAATGGGAAGGGAGTAGGAGCGGTCATCGTCTGCCCAGATCCTGAACAGTCCGATGGATGCGAAAGTGTCGTCTTGTTGGCCGTTAGTTAGAAAGTACTGGTCCTGTAAAAGATCCACTCGATCGAAGTACCTGCAAGAAAGAGAAGAATTGATGCTACTTTTTCTTTCTATTATCACAAGAATAATAACAGAAGAAAGATTAAATTAATATTTTCACTGGATAAAAATTGCCGTACAAAATCAAGAAGAATGAAGAAAAATGGTTACTTGACAACTTATCATGGGTAAAAAACACCGTATCAAATTATTGTCTTTTTTTCCTCAGGGGTTCGACCCCCTGTCTACCTGGAGGGTCCCCCTTTGGAACTATGTTGAGACCTCTGTTTTTGGCTGAATAATCCTATACATTTTCTGAAGCCGCCTTCGTCGCCATTATACTAATTTTGAGGAGGAAGCATGCCTATAAAGCTCGGAAAATCAATCGAGCTCGGCGAAAATTTAGAACATTTTTTGAAAATTCTTCCCCCCCCCCTTTCCTTCGAGTAAAACCGTTAGTACAAACACGAAGTCTAAATTTCAAAAAAAAAAATAGGCAATAGAAAAATCGGACGTGTGTTTTTTCGTGGACATGAATTTAGTGGGTTGACCAAATTGGTTATCCAATAAACCCTAGATCCCCACCCCTCCCCTATGCTACCTGTTCAAAATCCAAAAATCCACCCTTATGCTTCAGGCCGATAGTTAGAAAGATCAAAACCTTCTGTGCCCAGTACCGAATTTTGAGAGAAAATGTCGTATTTAGCGTTTTTGAAACCTTTTGGAACGTTTTGGCCCAAAAACTGATTTTTTGCTCCAATTTCCCTTCCTATTTTTGAGCCCATCGGCCTAACAGGATTGGTTCGAATTTAAATAAAACTTGACTCGTTAATTGTAACCTGTCATCTGTATCATCGGTTTCGACTCCCGTGATCCACTGGTTGGTACACAAAGCCACAAAACAGAAGATGACAGCACACACCTGCAGACAGCAGAATATCCCATTCACCACTGCTTGACCCAACATTATACTATCTTCGCCCACTTAAGGTTATAACTCGCTACTAATCTAGTTATAATTCCACTTTTTAATGAAGTTTTGAGGCAAAAATTAAAACAAAAACAGATCAGGGTGAAACTAATCGGATAAATTGGTTGTATGTATGTATAGTAAGAAAACAAACAAATATGCGTGCTTTTAGGTAACAAAATGGTTAAAACTACTTGAAAAGTGTAAAAATGAATTAAATTCAAACGTGCGTAGAATGGTTAGAACAAGGTGCACTTTTAAGATATGGTTGAAACGAGACGAAAACTTTAAAACGCGTTTTGCATGTTTCAACTTGAGTTGAATCCGAATTGTAAGTCTTTGTTGTGCCAAAATTGACCAACTTAATTAACGTGTATCGGTAGATTGTTTACTTGATTTTATGGCCTCATAAGCCGTTCATATGAGTCATATTTTCATTTTCACATTCTCGACTAAAAATACATAAACGAAAAAACATATACTACGTAATACACAAATACATATGAGCAAAACCTTTTTGTTTTTGAAAATAATACGAATTGTAACCAAAAAATATTGTATACGTAAACTCGTATTAATTAATGAGCGCAGTATGTAAGATATCAAAACGTAGCGTACATTTTTAACTAAGTTTTAAAAACTATTTGGAACACAGTTCTTGTTTCAATCCAGCTATCTATCATTTGCGTCATTCATACGAATATATTTGATTCGTCACAAGTTTTTTTTTACCAGCGGTCTCTAAAAATTATATAATCACATAAACACCGAATTTCAGTTTATAATCCCAATTTTGGCTGAGCTTTCTTATTCATATTACCCAGACGTTTTCGGTAGTTATACTCGGCAATACATCAGGTTAAGAAAAAAACTCTCATAGAAAAAACTCTTTCATAAATGTCCTCATAAAATTAATCAATTTGCATTATTTTCCTTTCCTTTTTTACTTAGTGACGACTTAGTTCAGTTATAAGCTTAGTTTCTTATAGTAATAATCTGGCACGGGTTGCAAAAGATCTTATGATATTATGATAGTTGGGTCCTTAAATTATAGACGAGTCCCCAAAGAAAATATTATGCATTAATGCGTGCTAAAAAACTAGGAAACATTTTTGCTTTTTACTTGAGTTTTTATGCTTTTTCTAGAGTTTATGAAAAATTCGGGACCCATTGTTCATTAATTTTTATCCAGGACCCAACTATCATACCTCCACCTCTGGAACAATTAGAATGAGC